GCATTTCCACTTTTTCATATCATTTAAGACAGTTCAAGGGCCAGCCAAATAGCTCAGCACATTAAAGTGCCTACAAGCAGGTGCAAGGGCCAGGGGTTTGATCCCTGGGCCTGCTGTGCCTGCCCCCCCCCCCCAAGGGCACACAGAGACAGCAATTAAGACTGGGCATGTTGGCGCACACCCCATAATCCCAGCTCTGGGAGGCTATAAACAGGTGGATCACTATAAATCCGATCTAGTAGTGAGACCCTGAACACCCTTTGGACCCTTCCCTAAAATACAAAATAAGAAAAAGAAAAAAAAGACAGTTGAATGAGCAGGGTGCATGACTGTAATCCCAGCACTCTGGGAGGCTGAAACAGGATCAAAAGTAGGAACCCAGCCTGGGCTGTTTAGTAACTTAGTAAGACCCTGCCTCAAAATAAATGAAGAAGGGCTGGGGATGTATCTCAGTGTGAAGGTCCTGGGTTCAAGTCACAGTACCAACCAACCAACAAAAATCAGATGTTGTGCAAGTTAGTAAATATACATTTATTATGATCTTTTTTTCAGTAAGGTAACATGCTAATTAAATCTGTCCTATTTGGAATAATACACTTGTCTTAATTGTGCAGACTCTGCCTTACTCTCCTCTTACAAATAAATAAGTCTTCAATTTTGTGTGCATTTTAAGAAAAGTTGAGATTAAAAGTTTAGAACTAATTTTTGAGTAACAAGGATCTTTTATTTGGTTAAATATTTCTTGTTACCTTTAATCACTGGATCTGAACTCTGTTGACTGTGCCTTCCCTGGAGTAGGAGATACTCAGTGTATATTGGTAAACAGAATTGATTCTTGAAATTTTCCATATTTTTTCTTGTGTTTATTAAAAAAAAAAATCTGGAAATTTGAAGCTTTGGCAAGAAACACATCCTTTCTTCCGCTAAGTTTAAATTGTTGGAATACATGGCAGTTGGAGTGGAATGCATAAAATAAAACTGTAATAGATGTTTTTTATTTATTTATTTTTATTTTTGCGGAACCAGGGATTGAACTCAGGCCCTTGAGATTGCCAGGCAAGTGGTTATTCTACTGAGCCATCTCCCCAGCCCCTAATAGATGTTTTTTAAAGTTCCTTATATTTTGAAAACTTTATAAACTAGTGTTACAAGTGGAGTCTGGCCTCCTAAACTTTTAGGAATTTACTATTTTGTGAAAAATATTTAAAAACTGGAGTAAAAGAAACCATCAAGGGGCTAGTGAGATGGCTCAGTGGTCTAAAGCACCTACTTAGAACAAGCTTAGCTAAAGCACAGGGACTGAAGTTCAATCCCCCAGCACCACATGCCAGCCAGCCCCGCCCCCTGGTGGGCTGAGCTGCTCCCCCCACATAAATAAAAATTTTTTTTTAAAAAAAAGAAACCATCAAGATAATAGTGATGCAATTAGGACTTTGGGACTTCATGTCCTTTATGTTATCAAACAGAAAAACATTTTAAAAATCAGAAAGAGAACTTTGGAACAAAGACAAGAAGAACTTGTTGAGTCTCAGTGAGTACAGCTTTAGCCACTTAGAAACTTTGTGTGAGTAGTCCAAATATCAGAGGGTGTCCTCTATTCTGCAACATGTAAGAATATTAACCTGAGCATAAATAGCCCTTGGAAGACAGAGAGGACTTGAAGACTTGATTTACGTGGAACAGTTTTTCCAAGGCATAAGCCTTTCCTATGACCCTAGTAAGTGGCCAGGCATAGTGTGTCTCTTTGGCAACGGGGATTCTTTACTTAATAGCTGTTTAGGTCTAATTGTTAAGAAAGCATTTCTCACAGTTAGGCCCAAATGTGTTCCCTCGTAACTTCTCAGTTTTCAGTTCTAACTCTTCCATGGTAGCACTGGGTCTTTGGTTTCATCTTGTTTTTGTGGTACTGGGGATTGAACCCAAAGCCTTCACAGTAAGCTGGGTCCCTAGCCCTTTTTATTTTTTGAGACAAGGTCTTGCTTGCTAAAATGGCCAGGCTGGGCTCACACTTGCGCGGCTCTTGCCTCAGTCTCTGCGAGTGCTGGGATTACCAGTGTGCACTACTGTGCCTAGCTGTCCTCTAGGAATACAGGAGGGCCTCAGCACTCTTCGTCTTCTCTTCCCACTTAACTATGTATTTTCATGGTCTAAACAATATAATAGCAGTGCACATGTATCATGTTTCTTCCTTTAAATTTTGAATCCAAAAGATTGTTAGTACCATAAATTTTTTTGTGTATAATAATAATGTGAAGTTGTTTTGCATTCAGTTTTTGTACTTTATGTGGCATAGCTTAGGGTTTTTTGTTTGTATTTTGTCTTAAGTGTGTTATCCTTTAAGCAATGGCTAGAAATACAGACATTTTAATATTCTTTCAGTTTTCCAAACAGTATCTTTTTTTCTTCTTTATCTTCTACACAGTGTCTTCAGTCTAAAGCTGTATAGGCTTCCAGGCGTGGTGGTCCATGCATATAATACCAGCCCTCATGAGGCTGAGGCAGGATTGCTCCAGGGAGGCCAACTTGAGCTGCATAGGTGAGCTCAAGGCCAACCTGTTCTGCAAAGCAGAAAGAAACCTGTCGCAAAAAACCTAATAAATAAATAATTAAATTTATATGGTCTGCAGAAATATAAGATTTTAGAATTATTCATTTGTTTAGACAGCCTTTTCTGAAAATGAGGACCTTCTTCCTAAAAAAAAAAAAACACTATATTTGTCTGAACCCCTCCATAATAAGTGGTTATAACTTTGAGAAAATGCACATAAAGTAAGTTACATTGAATTCAGAAGTACTTGTATTGGTAGCATCACCTTAAGTTTTTAAAAATAGCTACAGGGCTGGAACTCAATATCTCAAGTTCAATTTCTAATACTAAAAAAAAAAAAAGCTCTATATATGTTTGAAAAATATCATTACTTGATATACTTACAGATTCAGAAACATGCTACATTGGCTTGATTGGTTAGGACCATAAGTCTAATTTAGTGGCTTCGTATTCTATCTGAAGAAAGTAAGTTTCAGAGATAAGTGATTTATGCAGAGAAGTGGGGGTTCTGTAGTAGAATGAAGCGAAGAAACCTTTGTCACTTGGATTGATGCTTTTATTTCTTTTTTTTAAATTTTTATTTATTTATGTATATTTATTTATTGTGTGTGTGTGTGTGTGTGTGTGTGTGGCCAGCTCAGCCCACCAGGGGGCGCGGCTGGCTGGCATGTGGTGCTAGGGGATCGAACCGTGGTCCCTGTGCTTTGCCAAGCTTGTTCCAAGTAGGTGCTTTAGACCACTGAGCCATCTCTCCAGCCCGATGCTTTTATTTCTATTGCCAATAACAAAGTATGTTTTATTATTAATAGCTTTTAAAATTACCTGAGGAATTGTCTTTTGAAAGGATTGAGCTTTTTTTTTTTTCCCCTAATTGGATTAGAAAAAGGAGATGTGAAATCAAAGACTGAAGCTTTAAAGAAAGTAATCATTATGATCCTGAACGGTGAGAAGCTTCCAGGACTCCTGATGACCATCATTCGTTTTGTGCTACCTCTTCAGGATCATACCATCAAAAAACTGCTCCTGGTATTTTGGGAAATTGTTCCTAAAACAACTCCAGATGGGAGACTTTTACATGAAATGATTCTTGTGTGTGATGCGTACAGAAAGGTAAACAGAACCAACTTACCTATCTACCTTCTTTCTGTATTTTTTTTCTGAGACATAGTCGCACTGTGAAGTTCAGGGGCTGGGTTTGAACTCATAATGTAGTCCAGGCTGGCCTTGAACTTGTAGCCATCCTCCTGGCTCCGTCTCCTGAATTCTGGGATTACAGCATGTGCCACTATGCCCAGTAGTTATTTCTGAATATTGCTTTGATTTTAAATAATTATAAAATTGGTGAATGGACTTTTAGCTTTTAAAATTAAATCTTTGTTAAAATGTAAAAAAGTATGCTGCCTTTTGGAGGGAAATTTGTAAAGAGTTCTGTTGTTACTTCCTCAGACATTTTCTATGCATTTTATATGTGTGTTATAAATTAAATTTAGCAACACATATAGTATGTAAGACAGCAATGACATTGGTATAAACTACTTGATAATAAGAATCTGATGAAAATTATCTGATAATCTAGGTCTTTCCTGAAACTTTGATTTTTTTTTATTGGAAAGTTTTGCATTTAAAAACGGATTTTGAAAAAATAAGAAAAATAAAAATTGATTTTGGTAAGCTGAAGCTCAGCATTCATATTTAATTTTTATATCAGGATCTTCAGCATCCTAATGAATTTATTCGAGGATCTACTCTTCGTTTTCTTTGCAAATTGAAAGAAGCAGAATTGCTAGAACCTTTAATGCCAGCTATCCGTGCTTGCTTGGAGCATCGCCACAGCTATGTTAGAAGGAATGCTGTTCTAGCCATCTATACTATCTATAGGTATGTAAAGACATCCTAGCTTAGCTCTGTGAGGACTTCTCAGTCTTTCAGACTAGAGGTTCCAAAGTGATGCTTTGCAGACTACATGTAGTTTGTGGATATGTTTTGTTCACCAGCACAGTATTTTTCCCTTATTAAGTTGTCAACATTGAAAAGTCAAAAAAGTGCTGGCAACACTGGGCCTTAGTGTTTGCACAGCAATCAACTGAAATTGGCTGTGCATGGTGGCGCACAACTGTAATCCCAGCACTGAGGAGTCTGAGGCAAGGGGATCTTTGTAAGTTTGAGGCCAGCCTGGGCTATAACATGAGCTCAAGGCCAGCCTGAACTGCATTGCAAGACCCTATCTCAAAAAGACCAAAAAAAAAAGACTGAAATTGAATTATGCAAGCTCCCTTTGTAATTATACACTTTCCAGTTTGATGCATTACCTCCTATTCTCAGTTGTATAATTCCAATCCACTTAATTCATTTACTTGCTTACCTCCTAAATGCTCTGAGTTTTTCAATTTGTATTAGAATTTTTTTAAACAGTTTTTAAAAATCTTTATTTATTTATTTATTTGGTACAGAATCTCACTATGCAACTTGGACTCATAGTGATCCTCCTATCTTAGCCTCCCTGGCACTAGAAATACATCCATATACTACCATGCCGAGTTTCA